CCTCTTGGCTGCTGCTTTGGTTGGGTGTTGGCTTAGTCTATTGATTTTCAGTTTGTGCCATATACAAATGTGGCTCACACACACACACACACAAAGCAACACAAACACAGAACAGCTGAACACAAAAATAGTCCTGAAAAGGCCCTCGGGAGGGGGGGGGGGAGCCTGGTGCTGGCCATAATGGCTGCTGTTTGTTTTTGTGTGCGGGTGTGTGGCAAGTGTTAATTTTAAATTATTGACCAAAATGCCGGGCAGCTTTCTCAATTAGCAAAGCACTGGCAGGGGCAGTGCCTCTCCTTCCTTGTGTGCCCCAAAATGTGTAGCATACTTATTCGGGTGCTCCGTCATGCGCTTTAAATTTGCTCCTATGTGTGTGTGTGTGTGTGTGTGTGTCTGTGTGTGCTGTGCGTTGCGGTGCGTGTTTATGCGCTCTTGTGTGCGTGGGCTACATTTTTAATAGCCATTACATTTAATTGCACATTAAGTGCAATTAATTATTTAATTAAATAATTGAAACTAAATAATGAAAGGCAATGATTTCAACAAGCTCCAGCATTATGCATGCAGGCGGAACGTGCTCAGCTGACAGCTGGCAGGGGACTTGCAGCTGGCACAACTCTCTCTCCCCCTTTGCAATCATTATTATCGTTGCCAAAACCAACGTGAACAAGTCACTGCTGGCGGCATGTCTGTGCAAAAATGAATAAAGTTTTTGCCCATTTCATGATCATTATTCGGTGGGTTAGTTTGGGGCTGGGCAGCTGCAACTGAAACCTTTGTTAGCACATTAAAATGTGTGAAAAACACTTGTTAGTCAGCGCTCTTTGCAGCTTTAATCTCATTTAATATCTGCCTTAAGTGAAGCTTCATGTAAAGGCTTTCTCTATGCTTTTTTTGAAACTTAAATCGAATATATTTAGCGCAGGTAAAAGCGCTAAAAAATGTCTTAAATATTGGCCAGAGTTGGTCTTTGTGTTGCATCCACTTGAATCCATTCGCTCTGCCTGCTTCTGCCCCATCATCATTATTCACCGAAATCGTCTCGCACTTGAGAGCCTGCCGCTGCTCTGCGTTTGCTGGCGGAGATTAACCGCCTGAAGCCACTTCATCGTGTGCTCCACTCTGCTGATGGACACTTTAAGCCAACCTGAGCCGCAGGGAACGCCAGAGAGCGCCTGGTAGTAACTGAAGGAGGAACAACAGTTGTAAATGTCGCAATCGCTGTCAAATTTGCCGAACGATGGCAGGCACAGGGACACAGAGACACAGGGACACAGGGATACGCCGTGATTGATGATGATGCGCCTGCACGAGGCAACGAGGAGGAGCAGCCCCATAATAATTAGCTCAGCTGGAAGCTATCCAAGCCAAGACCCAAGGCTTGGGAGTGCAAAAATATGAGAATGTAAGCCAAAGTCAGTGCAAATCATATCAAAAATTTGATCTTCACTTATCAGCTCAGAGTTTGATTGATGCACGGATAGCATGTAGAGATTCTGTAGCTAATTGATTGATTGATTGATTGCCAGTGGCTTGCAGAGGCATCAACCCAAGCGTTCGAATTCGTTGACACTCGGGTTAACCAGAGATGAGTTTGGGATAAAGATAGAGGCAGACACACACACTGAGTGGCACAATTAGGACGCAATTCAGAGGCACAGGCACAGGCACAGGACATGTCAAAAGTTGCTCGGTTATTGGTTTAGCACAGCACAGGAAATGGCAATGGCAAAGGCAAAATAGCAACAACAACAAAAAGTCTCGCAAAATCAATGAATGCTCTGAGACAGAGAGAGAGAGAGAGAGAGAGAGAGAGAGAGGGATAGAGAGAGCAGCCAGCAGTCTTCATCCTCATCCCCATCCCCATCCCCATTCCCATCTTCCAGCTGTCTGCCTGACGCTTGGCATGTGTAGAACATGCGGCCTCTGACCCTGCCGGCCGTCCCTTCGCTGACTGTTTCCGTGCCCGTGTCGGGCACATCCTTCCCCCAGTTTGAGCTGTGGCTGTGTCTTGTCCAACACGCAGCGCCGTCTGGGCCTGGGCCACACCTACAACAACACAAATTCCCCTACCAAAAAAAGGCCCCACTGGCTGATTAAATTTATGCGCTCTTTGCATACAAATTCCAGAAGGCCAAATTAGGCAAAAGCAATTCTTCGGCTGTCCAACAATTTATTTCGAGTCTCACAGCTCCAAATTGGTTTCCCTTTCAATCATTTAAGTGCAGGCCCAAGGCAATTGCCCGCTGTTTAATCGCTGCCCAGACAATTGTCACATTTTTGCTTTAGTTTTTTCCCATTTAACAATAGAAATTTGTGGTTATGCTTGGAGCTGTCGTTTCTTTGTGTGCCACTTAATCTGCTGATAATTCAGCAACAAAATAAATTCCAATAAATTGTTTGGGCAAAAGCAATGACAACGGCATTGACCCCCAAATAATACCATTGAGCCCGAATAGTAAGGTAACTGGCATTAGTTCTCTATGCCACTCGCACACTTGTTGCTCTAAGCACTGCCGCAGGACCTCCTCTGCACTTGTCAACTCTCAAAAAAAGAAGCCATTGTGTGTCAGCGAAGCGCCACAAGTAAAATGTGCAAAAATAAACAAGAACAGAAAATAAATGTAAACTTTGGAGAGTACCAAAAATTACACAACATGCTTGGAGTTTGGCGCAAGTGTTGTGCGGGGAAATGGGCCTCGAGTATTTGTGCAAAATAATAAGCAAAGATTTCCAAAGAATTGGGCGTTGTAGCAATAACAATAATAGGAGCCAAAGCCACGAGAGAGAACATAAAAAAAGGACGGAACAAAAGACAAGAAAACAGAACGGAGCAGCAGCAGGAGCAGGAGCAGGAACAGGACTGCCAGGAGAGCAAGTACAAGGCACGGCGAGGACAAGACAAACAGGGCGTAATTGTATGCCACTCTCAGCCATATATGCACACTGCCATGGGTGTAGCTGTGGCTGTGTCTTTGTGTGGGGGATATGTAATATAAGTCACGTAGAGCATATCAACATCAATGGCCACAAAGCGCAGCATATCAATATATGTATGTACGTGTGTCTCTTTGTATGTGCATTAATACTGGGTGTCCTGGTGGGAGTAACGCATTAAGCCAGAATAGCAAAATGGCACATCAGCTCACGTGGAATCACGTAAAAATCTCATAGAAAAAGCTCACAAAATGCAAGAAAAATTAAATATAAAACTGCACTGAAATGGTTTTATAAATATGATCTGAATTATGTATTTTTAGCTGTTTAGCATTTTTTGCATGACTTTTACATTACGCGTTTTTGAATATATTCTGAGAAGTTACTCATTTGAATCCAGTCATCCATCCAGTGAATCCAATATTTGACCCTGTATGTTAGCGGTGAGTGGGGGACTGGCTGCTGGCTCATCTATCGCCTTATCCTTCAATTCAGCCATTCCCTTTCCCATTCCCATGCCCAACCGCATCCTCAGCTCTTTCTTGTTGCTTGGTCTTTTGTCTGAAGACGAATGTCACTTCCACGCGACTACCGTTGTGTTCTTCTCTCTCGCTCTCGCTCTCTCTCTCTCTCTTTATGGGTATCTCTTCTGTGGCTGTTTTGCGCTTCGCTTTCATTTCAAGCTGGCGTCTGTCATTACTTGGCATTGCCAGACAACAGCAAAGCAAAGACAGACCAGCCCATGACCCAACTATATAAGGAGGTCACGTCGGCCCCAGAGTTACTGGTCGCATTTCTTATTTTTCAGTGTTCCTCTGCTAGCCGACGCGGAAGGTTGGGCGCTCACTCCATTGTCGTTTCACTCACACTTACAGCGAGAGCCCTTTCACTCGCACTTATTGACAGCATTGTCAGCCTCCCTAATTTTTGACGTCGAGACCTCCTTATATAGTTGCTTCATGGGCCAGCCAGCCAGCAGTCAGCAGTCAGCAAAAGAGAAGGAGAAAGAGAAAAAAAGAAAACAACAAAAACTGACAGCAGCAGCAGCAGCAACAGCAACAGTTGTGCCCATTGTACTGTATATTGTGTTGGCATTGCTGTTTGCTGTTTGCTTCTTGTTATTGTTTCCCATTTCGATACACTGCCCGCCCTTCCGGTCGTAGCAACTTTGCAATGAAAGAAGCTAACCCCAAAGTAAGGGCAAGTGTTCATTCAAGCACAAATTTAATTGTTGAAATTATTGTAATTAATTTATTTCATTTGATTATATTTCGTATCAATTTCGTATTAATTTTGCAAGTGTATTGCCATGTTCGTTGTGTTGTCAATTCCTTTCTGGGCTATAACCATTTTTATGTGCTCGAATTGCTGATGGGTTTTGCGGTGCTGTGGTTGGGGCGGGGTGGGTAGCTCTGGTCTTGTGATTGGGAATGACACTGGGGGCTGGGGACTGAGGACTGAGGACTGGGTACTGCCACTGACACTGGGTATTGGGGTGGTGTGTGTAGGTTGGACCTTGATGGGTTTTGCTTTTTGCTTGCGTGGTCTTTCAACTTGTTGCTTTTTTTATTGCAGCTCTCATACGAGCTAAAGTACGAGCAGCACTCTGCAGGATGTGTGTGTGTGTGTGTGTGTGTGTGTGAGTGGCAGCTTTAACCTTTCACCCTTGAAGCAACAATGTACGGCACGGGCCAAGTAATCAAGCTAACCGTTTCACTGCATTCCAAATGCCCCGTTACATTTTGTCTGTAACTTACCCGACTCCGCCTTCGACTCTTATGACTGCTCCCTCTTCGTTTTGTGTTGGTGGAGGATCCTGTAACCTGTAGCCTGTAGCCTCTGCCAGTGACTGCTGTCAGCTCAAATTCAATTAGAGACGCTTTCAACTACTTAATTCTCATGAGATGCCCTCCCCCACTTTTCAATTTTCAATTTTCAATTTTCGCACACACAAAGAAGTTTTGAGTTCAAAATATTTGTTTTCTCAAATATTCCTCCAACATAAGCTGAAACCTGGTCAATGCGGACCATCCCATTCCGCTGTAGCAACTAAATAAAAAGCATTTTTTAAGCATAACCCAGGATACAAATTGTATTATAAACCATTGACATACACCTATGATGATGCCAAAAAGGAGGGGAGGGTGAGTGGGAGGGAGAATCAAGTCTAACCCCTGTTCCTCCTACTGGCAGCTCGCCTTCTGGCAGCTCGCCTTCTGGCAGCCCGCCTTCTGGCAGCTCGCCGTTGACGACGTAGCCGGGCCCGGCGCTTGGCAGCGGCACTCTTCTTCTTGGAGGAGCTGCTGCTGCTGCTGCTGCTGCTGCTATTGCTGGTGCTGCTCGCGGCTGTGGTGGTTTCGTCGCTGCTGCTGCTGCTGGCTGCCGTGGTGGAGCCTGTGGCTGTGCTGGCGGCGGTGGTGGTGGAGGTGGCATCCGCAGCAGCGCTGGTGCTGGTGGCAGTGCCAGTGCCACAGCCGACAGTCAGCAGACAGGCCAGGCACACGGCCAGGAGCAGCCAGTGAAGTTTCATAATGACAGATTCAAACAAATTCAATGGAAGAGCTGAAACTCTTCTCTGAGTTGCTCCAGTCCCACGGGCCGCTATTTATATCACTCCGCTGATTCCCGTGAATTGCGTCAAAGACATGACGCAGCCAAACACTACGCTTGCTGAAATATTTGCACAAATGCCAACTATTTGCACACCAGCCCAATGACCGAATCAAGTACACAAACTCCGAAATTCCAGCCAGACTTGACAGACTGCCAGACGCGCTCGACAAGCGCTTCTAACGCTACTAATAATATTTGCTCACAGACAGAATCTTCCATTCATCGATCGCTGAATCGCTGAATCGCTGAATCGCTGAATCGCTTCATCGATTTCATTGATCAATTTTGCCTGTTTGTGCTTGTTAAATATTGGCACGGGGCAGCATAGCTTCTGGCACTTGATAGTGGGGGAATACCAGAACGAGAGCGAGAGAGCAGAACCCTTTGCCACACCGCTGGGAACAATCTTCAATCTGCGACGTAAGCAGCGCTACAAATATTTGTTTATTGTTCGATTTAGCGACACAAAAAGTGATTGATGTTGCACCTAAATCTAACTCCCAAATGTTGCGCTGAATCCTCCTCCAATTTAGTATGGGCAATTTTTGGGACACAAAAACACCGAGATGATGTCCGTGCCCTTGAACTCGGTGTAGCCCAGATCGCGCGGTTTAACTATGGACATGCCTTCATCAAGTCCCCTGTATACGGCACAGTGCTGCAGCATCAAATTGGCAGCAAAGTCCACACGCACCAAAAAGCCAAATGCGGAGAGATCACCGATCAACTCAACGCGCAAGGAATGGCCCAGATAGAACATAAGTTGGCGCAGAGGAGGCGACATTACGCCACTCTCCTTTTTCCAGACTCCATTTGCGTTGTTGGTGAAGATGAGTGTGGCATTATCTGGCCCCGCCTCTGGCATTTGCTCTTTCCTCTTGTCGTTCATTCTGCAATTATTTATGCAGCATTTAGAGAGAATTGAGCGGGCAATGATTATTCGCTTACCTTTCCGTTATTTCTATAGCTTCGATGCACTTTTTAAGCGAAATAAATGTGCTTTCTGCGACTTTGTACAGCAAGCTTCGAATGTTCCAGAGAAACAAGAAGAAAATGTGCCTGGCGTTGCCATCATATCAGCAAATATCGATAGCGAAAAACAGCTGACCGCCAAGTGCCATCATGAGCTCAAAATTTCGTCACTAAAACAATGCCAGCTGGCGGGGGACACAGCCTCCAGCTGGGTAACATAAATCTATTCCAAAAACAATGCTCTACACTTTATTATCACTTTATTGTGGACCAAAATGTATGTTCCTTTTACAGCAAAAATTTTGTGTCTTAACTATTGCCATTTGGGTGGCAGCGAGACTTAATACCCTAGACCACATGGGCTGTGATGTGGTGCCGCTGCATGTCCCTGGCTACGTCCCTAGCCTGTCGCTTTAATGTTTGAAAGTTGGCATCGAGGCGTTGGTGTAGCAAAAATGAATTGGGTGTTGGATATTCGCGTTCCAGACTGAAGCACTCCTCGTTGGCTTGGTTGAAACGTTGCTTTAGGTCGGTGATTCTCATCATAAAATGCAGGGTCGCCGGATCGTCTTCTTCGGGTAGATTGAGCACAAATGATTGCACAGCCGATTCCTGTGAGGACACTTGGATTAACAGTGTGCGGCCTTCAGGTACAACAACTCACAAGTGGGTCCCCCAGGCAGAGGCGCATTATAATGTTCATGTTCCGGGCGAACCAGAAATGTGCCATCGGGTGGTGCTGCTCCATTTTAGCCAAAGGAAATCAATGAAAATTAATGCGGAAACTGTTACAAAATTTAGATATGCTCGTGTACAATGTGCTGAGCCGACTTGTAATGAGATTTGACGAGCATAAAAACAAAAATCAAAGCTACTGCGATAACTATTTGCAGCGGTTCAAACTTAGTTCAAACTTTTTGGTTTGTGGGATTCATTTGTGGCACGGAAATGGGTGCATAAAAAGGGGAACAAAATGAACCCGCTTCAGCGTTATCATTTGCGCCGCAGGTCAGTTGGATTGTGTTCTGGTTTATCCCTGAAATCCTGCAAGCGCGCGGCTCCATTGTGCGCGGCTCTGCAGCAAAATTAATGACATTATTTTTATATTCTTTTACACACATATACATATATGTTCATGTATTCGTGTGTGTGTGAACAGCAGGAACTAGATTTGTTGGCATCAATCAATAAAAAGAACTTGACACGCGAGTCTGTGGAGTAAACTCGATGCAGCCATAACTGGAGGCCATGACAGTCGCTTATCGGGAGAACACACACACGGAGAGAGGCAGAGGTACGCAGGAGGCAGAATGTCGAGGATGTGGCAAGAGCTGCTCTCAAATTATTTGCCATCAAAATGCTATTGATTTATTAATGCCCGCTCATCGAGTCGAGTCATCGTCGAGTCGAGAGTGCTTCCTGGGATCATCAGCGCTCCCCCACATCATAGACATTAATTTTGCAAATGTCTCAATAAAAATCAATAGCAAATACAGATACGAGTATGTACTCGCATGTGTACATGCATCCATCCCCGCAGCTTTATTACTTTATCCATGTAGATGACGACTCCTCGGTGTCCTCTGTGTAGATTTTTTCTTGATTTTCCCTTCCGGCAAGACAGAGAGACAGATTCCGGCCCTGGCAGTCTGCAAATAATTGTTGTATTATTTTATTTTATTTATTGCATTTACAAATTGCAGTGGGCAAAGTGTCAGCCTTGGAAATACCTTCAAAAATCTGCATAATTGATGTTTAGAGATGAAAGAATGTGTCCGTTGAGTGTCTATGCGAATTATTTAGATTCGTATGAATTATTTAGGAATTTCCATGAGCATGTCTGTGCCCGGATCTAACTATCATTTCCAGCATCTGGGATGCCGCCTCAGGACCTGTCAGTCAGCGTTTTGGGCACATTTCTCTGGCATAACTGGCGGCTGGCTCATTTGGCCAGCAGCCCCCTGGCTGTGCTCCAAAATGTTTCGAATAATTCATCGCGTAATGAAAACTCCCCCGAGAAGAACTCAACGAGAAAGTGAAAAGTGATAAGTGGAATTTGTGTGCGCTTTTTCGTGATGCGATTCGCCTCCACACAACTGGCTGGGCGCCTTCTTTGTTATGGTAATCGTTGTTGCCTGATTTTTTCTCAAGAATATTTCCTGTTACCTGTCAAACATACACCAGGCACACACACCACACACTCCCAATGGTGCCGGTATCTATGGCAACTCTTTCATGGCACAAAAATGTTGCCTGCTGCCCTGCACCCCTGCAAAAAGTTTTCACTTATTTTTCAACGCAATTTCTGATGCTCCTTTGGTTTGGGGGTTTCGTGGCTTCGGCTTTTGCTGCTAATGGATTTCCATTGAAACTGAACTTTGACAGCTCAATGCATATCGAAATAAACATAAATAAACGATGGCCCTTCTTTTTTTGTTGTTCTTTGGGTGTACGCACTTTTGACTCCCCTGTAGCTCAAAAGAAATTCCACAGCCAATATGGAAGGTGGAACTTCGTTTCGGACAACTGACGAAATTTCTGTGCTAAGACATCTTTCCATGTATCTCATTGTTCTCCTATCAATAACTTCAATTTCTCTATTATTTTGTTATACAATTTTATATTTTTGCCTTAAGGTTAGAGCACATACAAAGGACATTCCCAATGCCCATCAATATGTACTTATGAAATTACACAAAAAAAAAGCTATTTTATCAGGTGATTCGCTAGGAGTCAGCATGGGTTCCGGGAGTCGTATCATTGTATGAGGTATCAGGTTTATTCTCTGTTTTTCCTGTTCCTGTTCCTGCGGCGGACGATCCTCTTCTTGCCCCCGTGGATCTTGCGCTTGTAGTGGCGCACCTTCTTCTTGCCCCCAGAGGTTGAGGCTGCGGTTGTGGTCGTGTCTGAGGCGGCCGTAGTTGTGGTGGCCGCTGCGGAGGTGGTTGTGGTGGTTGCCGATGCGGATGTGGTGGTGGTAGTGGAAGCAGCCACTGTTGTGGTGGCAGTGCCAGTGGCCCTGGTCTCCTGCAGGAGGACACAGCCGAACACGGCTAGGAGAAGGAGAACGCAAGAGTACCTCATGTTGGTGGATCGATTGCTCTGATGAACTGATGACAATTGCAGCGAAACGACTGCCTTTTATTGTGCTCCAGCGGGGGACATTTTATGTACAATGGCAAAAGGCAATTGAAATTTGAATTAAAAACGGAGCAGCAAGTTAACAAAGTAATTTACGTAGATTGTTTGGCTGTTTGGCAATGTGCCGGAAAAAGGAAAGTAAAAGAAAAGTCTCACGTGTTTGCACAGTTGTTGTGGGGTAACAAATTTGCAAATTATTGTTTGGCCAGACCACTCTTTGTTGCCAAAGGTATTCGCATTGCTGTGACACAGTTTAGAGATAGCAGAGCCCCAGATTCGGGGTAAACCCAAAGCTGGGAACTGGAAGCTGGAAGCTGGAAGCTGAACCAGAATCTAGATCTATTCAGCTATAAAAGCCCCTCGATGGTATCCGGAAAAGCATCAGTTGCGAGCCATTCCAACTATCACCAACATGAAGTACTCTTGCGTTCTCCTGCTCCTGGCGCTGTTCGGCTGTGTCCTGGTTAGACAGACCAGTGCCACTGGCACTGCCACCACAACAGTGGCTGCTGCCACTACCACCACCACATCCGCATCGGCAGCCACCACAACCACCTCCGCAGCGGCCACCACAACTACGGCCGCCTCAGACACGACCACAACCGCAGCCTCAACCTCTGGGGGCAAGAAGAAGGTGCGCCACCACAAGCGCAAGATCCACGGCGGCAAGAAGAGGATCGTCCGCCGCAGGAACAGGAACAGGAACAGGAAAAACAAAGCCTAAGCCTGATACTTGACACCAATCCTAACGCTGATCCTGACCCCTAGCGCATCCCTGTTACCGTAATTCTGTTTAGTTTCTAGTATTAATGAATGATTTTTGCATAGTTGTAAGGCAATTAAAAAAATGAATTTAAATTATTTGTTTGCATTGTTACTAATTAACATCTTGAATTTGTGGTTTCAAGTGGGATTCAGCAGAATATCAATGATCGGTTTGGTGGTGGTTAACTAAAGCACCAACCTTTACATTCCTTTGTATGTGAATAGCGCACGAAGAAACGGTATGTGAAACGGTACGGTAATTCGCGAAGAAGTGGAAGGGCAGCAGCAGAGGGGCGGAATTGCCTGTGCGCCGAAATGCAAGCGAAGCTTAGAACGAACGCGATAAGTGGAGAGAGACGTTCTTCAACTCTCTCGCTTCCCCGCGCTCACGTCGACTCTACGTTCGCTTGCTTCGTTTCCGCACTCTCCTCCTCTGCTTTTCTTGCCGTGTTGAAAGCAGGCAACGACTCACGTTCGTGTTTGTACGTATACGTGTATACATGTATGTATTCATACATTGTCACAAAGCCATGTCACCCTTCACGACGACCGCTTGCACAATAAAGATTTATTTTATGCTTCTAGCTTTAGTTCAGCTGAGTCTGCCGTACACGAATTTATGCTTGGCACTGTCTTCATAGCTAGGCTTTTCGCACAGCGAACAAAAAAAACAACAAACTCCCCGCGATGCAGGTAGCCACGGACACGGACACGGACCTAATATTGACGAACTCTCTACCTGCGACTGACCCACTCCCGCGCGGGCATTGGCAACGATCAGTGGAAGCAACCGCAAGGCATCATTTGCGGGTTGTTTGTTGTTTCTTTGTTCGTTTGTTTGTGGTTTACTTAATCCCCTTGGTGCTGCTCACTAACTAATGACACTTGAACCGCCACAGGTTCATAAATATTAATTATCGCACCCAACACGTGTCAAAACGTGCTGACTTCTAGCGAAAGGGAAAGGGCGGAGCCAAAGTAACAACAGGCCAAAGGCCAGGAGCTGACTGACTTAGAATAATGTTACCGGAGTGTGGATTGACCACTCCCAATTACTCCCTCGATTTCCAGGGTACTCCCTCGCCGTCCTGTAGCAGGCGCATATGTGGCCAGCTATGATGCCAGCTGATCCACTTGCACTAAAAAAACAACACAAACAAGAAATAAATAGAGGCTCCCGCAAGGTGTGGATTTGGAATCCTTCTTACATATTCCATTCCATTCCAGATCAGTGCCACGCTTCAGTTTCTTCTTTTTTTTTGTATATATAATCAATTTTCGTAGTTATTTTAACAATTTTTCGATCGCTCAAGTTGATTGCGGCTTCGCTTCAATTCCAAGAATTTACAGTGTTGAAAAGGGTGCTGGTAGATGACGTCACAAGTGCTTACAGTGTTATTGAATTGCCAAAATTGGTATTAAATTATTAAGTTTGATTACTAGCTAAAACAATAGTTAATGGTTAAGTCTGTGCATCTTTTTTTTTAATATTTTATTCATATATTTTCTTTTGGGCTTTCATCGTTTGATGGCTTTCGATTGCTTCGTGCCGATGTTTAGTGAGACCGCACGCATAGGGGTTGCAATTTGTGACTATCGATATGATAATTTACTTAATTTGCAGAGCATTCAACTTATTTCGGTTGTACAAAAAATCTAGAAATTTGATTAAGCAATTTATGTCTCTGTTATCTGGAGTGGGAGGTTCAGGCGTCGAGTGCTCGTTCAAAAAATATCGTCTACAAAAATATCGTACCACAAACAAATCAAAAGTGATCGAAGCACACACATCTACGCATGCTCGTGTCAGTGCGGAAGTGTAAACAAATTCAAGAATTATTATTTAAAGCCTCTCACAAATTTGCATTACATTTAATATAATTTAGTATTTTGGCCCGGAACAACACGAAGGACAAGTGTAGGCAATGACGAGGTTTACCTTTGATATTAAGCCTCTGTTCCCGGAGGCGATTATAAAAGTGGCATCGGACATGCTGCCGCAGAACTTTTCCGGCACGCGTGTGCAGTGCGCTGATGCCACATTGAAGATGACGGAGATACTCGACCTTATGGGTAAGAAGTCGGCCGTAGCCCAGGAGCTGGTCAGCCAGGTGACCACGGCCCAGCGTCTGGGGCGGAGCGACAATCAAATTGTTTATCTGATGGCGGATGCCGATGACGGGCCCAACGGGTCTGTGGTTGGACTGCTCAAGGTGGGCACCAAGAATCTCTACCTGTACGACGGGACTGGAAAGGCGCACCAGGTGAAGGGGGCACCGGCCATACTTGACTTTTATGTGGACGAGAAGCACCAGCGCCGCGGGCTGGGCAAGCAGCTGTTCGAGACGATGCTGACGCAGGAGGGGTGGTCCCCGGCGAAGCTATCGATTGACCGACCATCCTCGAAAATGCTACTCTTCATGGCCCGCCACTACGGGCTGGTGCGCACCATACCGCAGGCCAATCACTTTGTCCTGTATGAGGGATACTTTAACGATGTCGCCCCCTCGTCACCGCCGCTGCAGGCCAATAAGAGCTTGCCAGCCATTTTAGCCGCCGGTTCTAATAGCCAAAGCAGCATCGGCGAGCGGTGTGCTAATTACAGGAAACGCAGCACCCTGGATTATCCTGGCAATGGCAATCTCGGCTCCAAGTGCACCATGGCCGAGATTATGCAGAATTCGCGTGGCAGAAACAACAAAGGCAATGCCGCTGGCGATGCACAGCCAAGCAGAATGAATTTACGCAACAATTAAGCTACACCACAGTCCACACGAATGTATACAGCACACAGAAAAACACAGACTTGAGCTGGCCAAAGCAGGGCGTTCAGTTATCGATTAGCATTAAATATATTTTGGCAATCTATTTGTCGCTTTGTTAGCCCCCCGCTCGAGGCTATGCAATACAATCTTCGGATGTCTGTCAGCACCCAGAGGTAGGCCACAGATGCTCAACGATCTCAGATATCGTTCGAGGTCGTTTACCGAACTTTGCCGGCTGAGACAGACACTATATTTGCGATGAATTCTTTGTGTTGCCAATTGTCTGCGCACATTCTTCTTGGAGTTTCGCAATTTGGAAACTGAAAGCGGAACAAAAGGTTCGACAATGCAAACACAATATGCAGAATCACGCAGCGGGTATAAAAGCCCGTCTTTGGTGGCGGTTTGACAAAGAGCTCTTGGACAGCGAAGAGCATCAGCAACAACCATGAGATACTCTTGCGTCTTACTCCTGGCATTCCTGGCCTGTGTCCTGGTGGGACAGACCAGTGGCACTGGCACTGCCACAACGGCGGCAACTGCAACTGCCACAACCACCTCGGCATCGGCTGCGACTACCACCGCAGCCGCCACAACTACAACCACCACGAGCGCATCGGCGACCACCACGACCGCAGCATCGAGTGGCAAGAAGAAGAAGAGGGTCACCAAGTGGACGGAACGCAGAAGAGGCGGCAAGCGGAGCAACCGCAAGAACAAGCGCAAGTCCAAGAGGCGTCACCATCACCGTGCCTCGACCACCGACAGCAGTGACAGGACCTCAGCCAGGCGCCGCTCCCTCTCCAGACGCAGGAGGGGCTAGATCCAAGCTTTACCACCCGCCCGAACCCCCTCCCATTTGAACTCCGACAAACCACCAATTTTTAGTTAATCCCAAGCCCAAGGATTACAATATCTTTTTTTTTTATATTTGCTTAGGAATATTTTAAAGAAAATTAAACGGAACAAAAGCTATTAAAAAATACATCGATCAGCGATTTTATTCTTTAGAAACGGACCCACAGTCTTGAGGGAGTTTTGCAGCAAATTTAAATTAGTTTACAAATAATTTGTAACGAGTAAGAACGTGTGAGACGCTTCTAACGCGTCACAACTTTTATATTTTAATTCTAATTCATAATTTCTGCTGCGCGAACATTTTTATAAATTGATGGGCTGAAAAGAGAAGTTTATTTTGATGTCGATAGAATACGTGAAGATATAGCGACCAAGAAATGAAGCTGCCAACAACTTTTAATGTTTCTACAACTTTTGCCATATTTTTTGGAACATTTGCAGCATGAAATGGTCAAAATGTTGGACTTTTTTTCTTTATTGGCATTAATTACAAAACATCGGCGATAAGTCGTGTAAAACTGTCTTAAGGATAGAGGGATATAAATGTCTCAGGCTAGAGACTGAGCGCTCGATAGCGTCTGCCTCATAGATAAATACTTTAGTCACGAGACAACAAAGAAAATTGTTTTAAAAACTTAGATTTCGACTGTACCACGTTCAATTTCCTAGACCACCCGACAAGGTTGTCTGTAATTTTATTTTTTGTATTTTTTCTCACTTTTTTAAGTGTCATTTGTACAAATATTTTTCTCCAATTTGCGCATGAATTTATATTTAAACACCAATTTAAATTGCGAATTTCCCATCCACTTGTTCAAAGGTTCTCTGTTTTGATGAGGTTTAAATTTAGCAATGACATTGACTTGGGATAAGTGCGAATATTAAGACAATCAGAACATTGTCTGAGGAACTTAATTATTCAAATATTTGTTTATTTCCGAGCTTCGATTGGTTTGAATGGAATTATTGGGGTAATCAGTAATTGACTGAAATATTAGCTTAAAGCCAATAATGAACGCTTCCCACAATGGGGAGACATTTAATTGTTTTATTAATGATTTGTTGACTTAAATGTGTACTCATCTGGAATAAGCTTTAATATTGTTTTAGCAATGACACAGAAAATATTTATATTTATATTTGTTAAGTCTATATTCCAGAGAATCTTTCATTGAAATTTGCTTATAAGTAGTGCAAAATGGAAAGGCATCTACATATGTCCCGCAACTAACTCATAAAAATTCCATTGCTAAACAAAGAAAGTTTCTGTTGTTCTCGCAGAATGGTTAGATAATGTCTAGTACAGGCAAAGTCGCTCATCGACTGGAAGTAGAGCAGCGAGAGAGTCTCAACAGGAGTGTTAATTCTGGCCTGTGATCAGACAACATTAACATTCAATTCAGAATTATATTTATGTACTTAATTACTTAACAAATTTCACACGACTTAAAACATAAAAAATATTACAATATTCAAAGCGGAGCTTCGCCCGTTAGTTAATATTTTGAAACCATTTTTAATCACTGAAAGTAGTCGTCCTGCTGTAGCATTTCTCATCACTGAAAGTAGTCGTCCTGCTGTAGCGTTGTAAACGTATCAATGTAGTCCTCCGGATGATAGTCCAAGCTGTTGTAGAACACATCCCTCTCCGTAAAGTCCTCGGGTCTGTAGAAGAACTTGCATATCAGCAGGCAGGGCAGCAACAGGAGCAAACATTTCAGTTTCAATTTCAATTCCAGCGTCAGCATTTCTGCGTTGTGGTGTGCCCAGCAGTGTTCGATTCCGTTCGATGATGGACTGATTTAAGGGTATCGCCGACAGTGGAATAGAACTGAAATGAGCCGTAGAAAAGCGAAACTCGCAGTGGCATGTGGGTCAGTTTGTGCAGCTGCTCGCTGATTGACGGAAGGTCGCGGATTTGGCAAAAAAGAGAACTGTTTTTTGGGGCAAATATGTGGATAGCCCACTTACCCACACATCGCTTATGCTGTGGCTGTCTGGCTGTGGCATACTTTGTGGCGGCATCTAAGGGGGATAGATTGGGAAAAGTAAAGAAAGTCAAGCGTTAACGGCAATTGTATGCTCTGTATAAATATAAATAATTACTTACGAATATCTTGGCTCAAACCACATGCTAACTATGTTTCTCTCTCTTGATCTCATTGCAGAAAATCGTGTGAAGGATGTGCCTCTGACCAGGAGCAAGCAACATCGATTGGGGCATGATGCGTTTGGCGAGGCTCGCGCAAAGTTTTTCGTTTAGCAAGAAGGCGGGGCAAAAGGGTTCGGATCAGCCGCTGGCCAAGGTTGATGATGGGAGCGGGGAGGGGGGAACGCTATATACTAATGCAAACTCAATAACCTGACCCTTGGCTGAACTTGTTGTTTTGTTTTGGTTCCTTTTCAGCATCGCATCAGCTGCAGCAGCAACGGAAACGAAAACGGGAACGGCCACAGTGGAACGGCTGCAGTAGGTGGCAACTGTAACGTCAACGGCCTGGCAGCCAGTGGGGGCGGCGGGGGCGGTGGTGCCGGTGGAGGCGGAGCGGGAGTGGGTGCAGGCGAAGGAACGGGTTGTACGGCTGGGAACGGCTGTGGGAGCGGCAGCAAGGGGCAAGGCAAGCGAAAATCAAAGACAAGAACCAAGTGCTTCGGTGGCACAGTGTTTCGCTGTTGCCTACCTTGTCGCGGGGGCGGCTCCGCAGCCCCCGCCACAAGTCCGCCCCAAACACCCGCACAGACACCGGACGAACCGAAGAGCAACAAGAACATTTCGGACACCGCTGATCCGCAGCAGCAAAAGTGTCCGCATCAGTCGGGCGTGGAGCAGGACGAGGCCAAGAGGAGAGCCACCAAAGGTGATCAATCACCAAGCAAAGAAGGAGGAACACGAACAGGAGGAGTAGTAGAAGGCGACCGACAGCTGATCAGCAGCGAGTCCGTACTGGAAGCGTATACTAGCGTCGAGAAGAAACACTCGTTGGCCGACACCATTGGCGGTACATCGGTGACAACGCCCATCTCGCTGAAGACATTGATCAACGACGTGGACGAGGACTTGGAGCAGCAACTGAGCGCCGCTGACATAGCCGCCGCATCCCTGGCCAGCGGCCTAGTGGCACGTCGAGCCGAACCAGAGACCCTCAGTGACGCGAGTGTCTCACCCACTGCAGTGGTGCAGCAGCTTGGGGGTCCCAGCTCCACCACAACAGCAGCAGCAGCAGGCAGCCTGATTCAGCCAGTGACGAGCGCCGCGGTGACGACAGCAGTCACTGCCCCAGTCAATCTGCTGACGAGCAGCCCATCCAGTCTGTACAGCAGCAGCACGAATCCGAATCCAAATCCAAATCCAAGTCAGAGCCAGAACCAGAATCCCAATCAAAGCCAGAGCCAGAGCCAGACGCAGTCGCGCTGCAGCTGCCAGCCACAGACATCACCACTGCCGCACATCAAGGAGGAGGAAGAGTCCGAGCAGGCCAACTCCAAGCAGCTGTCCCTGAGCAGCCAGTGCACAGAGACCCTACCGCCCATCACAATCGCTGGTGCGGGCTACTGCGGCAGCTGTGAGAGTGTACATCACTCGTCGGCCACCTCATCGTCCACGGGACCGGCCACAGCGGCCGGAGGAGCTGGATCGGTCAGTGCTGGCCAGGCCACCGATTACGGCAGTGCCTCCACACCGTCGCCACGCATCAAGCTTAAGTTCCGCAAGCCGCACAAGTCCTGCTGGTCGCGCATCGTCCTAGCACCCATCGGCTCCACCGGCAACTCCTCATCGGCCACCACCGTCATTGGCAGCAACTCGAACGAGACGCTCGCCTCCAGCGGCGGCAGCACCGGCAACACCACCACCAATACCCAAAACAGCAGCAGCGTCAGCGTTGCGGCCCACCATCGCCTGACCTCGTCGTCGGCCTCAGCACTAGCCTCCTCGCACCCGAGCAACTCGCAGCTGCTGCCCACCAGCAAGATGCAGGCCGAACAGGGCTCCATCGGGGATCTGCAGAAGTACCACAGTCGCTATCTCAAGAATCGTCGTCACACCCTGGCCAATGTTCGGTAAGTTTATATCACAAATTTAACTGTAAATCAGAAGACGGCAAGCTTCGTTTGCTAGTTACATACATGTACAGGCGTGCACTACTTACTCTTCGGCTGCCGCAGCGGCAGAGAAGCAAGAAACGTTTTTGATTTCGTTTCTGTTGTCTGCACACACAAAATGCACATGCAGACACGAACCCAAAAACATTTCTTGCTTCTCTATCGCACTTGTACAATAACTTGGTACAATAACGGATCTCCACAATGCATTTACATACCTCGGAGAGAGTTGCAGAGAGGGACAGTAAGCGAGAGAGCGAGAGCTTGCTTTGGCTACTTTGCTCTCTGGCTTTGTGATCCAACTGTTTACCTCTAATCCAGGGGTGGGTGCGCAGATACACGCATATTTTTGTGCTCTCACAGAAGTGCACAGGCACGAAGCCCAAAAACGTTTTGTGCTTCTCTGCCGCTGCGGTAGCCCAACAATAGTGCACAGCCCACACGAAGTTGCTTATCAGCGCATAGGCCGAAGCCACACGAAGCTTTTACGCTGCGCTTCTCGTGATCTTCTTTTTCTATGCACATGGTAAGCGAAGCTGGCGGCCGCTGCCCGAGAACATATGTATACTGTAATTGTGATAGAATGAAGCTTAGAATAAGTCCACTGTTTCCAAGCTTGTAGCGCCGCTCTTTCTCCGCTATATTTTCTACTTCGGTTAATTCTCCATCTTATAATTGATTTTCATCATTCGCTTGCTTTGAACCTCATTTTGCTAACGATACGACCAGCAAGCAATCGATGAAGCTCGAATGTTGTAGCCTGGAACTGCAAATGAGACTATCTAATAGCCATAATGAGAAATTACTGCTGTTGAATTTTGTTTTTTTGGTCGTCTTAAGGTTGAATTTGTTTCTTTTTTGCGCCAATCCATCAATTAGAATCAATCAATCAACGTGCATAACTTAATTGCTCGTTAGAAGGAAGCAAAAGTCGTCGAGTCCACAGGGGGTCTCGTCGCTAACTTCTGTGCGGGGGCGACGACACAAACTCTAACTAAATTGCCAAATGACGCAGGGACGAACAAATCAAGACACAAACAGACCATGCGGCAAATAATGTATTTACATATTTACATATGGATTTATTTATTTGTGTGTGTCCAAAATATGTTAGTTTTTATGCTAAAAAGAAAATTTAAAAAGGAAATTTAATGGAACTGGTTTTGGTCTTGGAGCAGACGATCTCAATCTCGCAGACGGAGATCAATATTTGATGGCCTTTGTATCATCGTATCATCATTTGTAGCATTGTGGCAGATCAGCCAAATGAAAGTGAATCATTTTTGATAGTTTCTTCATAATTTTGACACGCATCCGCCCTAGATAAGCCAAAAAGCAACAACAAAATAATAGATATTTGCAAAATAGTCTGAAGAAGCAAAACGAAACAAAACGAGTCTGGCATTTTGGTTTTTTTTTTTTGGCAACGTTTGCACAAATGTTCGTCAGGTTGTTATTAAATTACCATACACACAGCCAGCAGCAGAGCCACCGTCAGACAAGAGCCAGGGCAAAACAGACACACACACAACGTGGCTAGTAGTAGACTCTCATTGTCAAGCTGTTTGCGAATACGCCCAACGCCCACACCTAACTAGAAAATCAACTTTAACTAACTGAAAAGTTAGCCCAATGAAAACAGAGACCGTGTGGCAAGAGACGGGGTGGCAATTAGCGACTTGCAATCAAATCAATTTCCAGCTAGTCGAGACTTAATCGAATTACAAAAGTTAAGTGACAAAACTTTCAGGCTACCACCCACAGGTTGTTGCAGACACAAAAACAAATACAAACAATAGCAATACAATAAAGGAACAGGAGTCAAAGATGTTGATTTTATTTGTAGGCTGCGTTTTGGATGTCACATGGAGGAGTAACTATAATACACAACTATAATGTGCTGAGAAGGACTCCTCTGAATAACTTATAATGTTGAAAAAGTTGCCATTTATTTGGTTACTTGCAAGGTGACGTTGTCCGCTGCTTGGAGAAGTAATTGGTAACTTATTCACCAGGAGCGCAGCTAATGGTCCCCAAAAGAGAGCGCAATGTGCTGAAGACGTCACCTCGCGACGCTCTTTCTGCTCATTTTTGCGCTTATTTCGCTCATATAATCATCAAAAAATGACACACAAATATCCATCATATAGGAAATATTTCATTTGTTGCACTATGAAAAAAAGTAAACAAAAAAGCACACACAAAAAATAGACTAAGAAAATGCAACAAAATCAGAATTAAATCTGTAGAAAAAAAAATTTATTTTGCTATACACTTTTTGTTGTTGTTGGAGCTGGAGTCCATTCCCCTAACCGCGAGCCCTTCTGGCTTTGTTGTTGGTGGCGCGTCGGTTTCTCCGATTGTTGTTTCCGTTGGCACGAGCGGCGCTGCGCTTGTTGCTGGTATTCCGGGCGCTGTTCTTGTTGCGTTTTCGGGCAGCGGCGGTCCTTTTGCTGTTGGCCTTGTTTTTGTTGCCGGCGCGCTTGTTTGCAGCCTTCTTCTTGTTGTTGTTGCTGTTCCTCTTCTTTGGTAATGGTGGTGGTGGTGGAGCTGGTGTAGGTGCTGGCTCCGAATCGGTATAGTCGCCATCCACTTCGGTACCGCCGCCATCTGCACCAGCATCCTCCAGTGGACCTGAGCCGTCTTC